AGGCACTGAGCGGTGCTTACAGGAGAGCCCTGCATAGCCATGGCCTGTGGGTGACCACCTGTGACCACTGTTGACTGGGAGCTGCTCAGCCTTTGCAGAACAGCTGTCAGAGTAACAAAAACAAATTAAAACAGGTGACAACTGCAAACAAATGTTTTAGGTAAGACCATTCAGAATCCACAGAAGAAGAGTTAGGACTTGGCAGCATTCAGCCAAGGCAATAGCTAAGGGATCAAAGGTGTGGCCTGAGGCCACAGACCCTGGGCTTAGAGGTCTGTCAGTTCAGATAGGAGAGGGAGTTGGACGATGGCTTCTATGAAGCCACAAGTGCTGTCATTTTGGGGATTCGATGTGTAGGGCCATTAGCTACATCATGATTCCAGTAGACACAGAACTGAATCAGTTTCTAAATGTGCTGCTGCCTTTTAGCTTGCTTCTGAGGTAATTGCTCAGAGGATGAGCCTTGACCCAACACAAATAAAGTTTGGTGAAAAATCAATGAAAATGTAAGCCAGTTATCAAGGGAAGGCTAGGTTCTTAAGCTGATCAGACCTTAGGAAAGAAAGCCATCACACTTGCAGGTCTCTGGCTAAGCAGAGGGAGTATGGCCATTCCTGGCTTTGGTGGCAGCATCAGAAATTTTATTAGTCAGACTGGCATCTAGCCTTGGGAATTGTCTGCTTCACCCTAGAGTGTCAAATTTCATTCCATTTTACAGCAATCCTTTCCCCAGCACTCCCCTCCCCTTTCTTTTTTGAATCTTTAAAAGGGTTGTTTTAGCCTGAGCCCTCTGGCTCTGTTGCCTATTTATCAACCATTTTGTTGTAGGATAGCTCTTGAGTAAAGGAAGGGCTTTGTGATCTCCAAGCCTCCTTGGGCTAAAAGAGGCATCTTTTTCTTGTTGCTCTGGGACATAGTGAGGCCTTCACTGGAGCACCTTAATAATGCTTGGAGTCCTGGGGTTCCGTGAGTATATATACTACTTCCAGATCTCAGGGCTGTACCATCAACTGTATCAGCCAACTCTTCAAATCTGCTCATGGCCCTGGCCCTGGGGAGGAATCCACTTGCTCCCTTGACTTTTTTTTTTTTTTTTTTTTTTTTTTTTTTTTTTTTTTTCGAACAGGGTTTCTCTGTGTAGCTTTGGAGCCTATCCTGGCACTCACTCTAAGAGACCAAGCTGGCCTCGAACTCACAGAGATCCTCCTGCCTCTGCCTCCCGAGTGCTGGGATTAAAGGCGTGCGCCACCAACGCCCAGCTCCCTTGACTTTTTAAAAGTTTTTGTATGTATGCCTACAGGTATTTATGTATGCATATGCCTGTGTGCATATGATTACATGTCCACATATGATTATGTGCAGGCCAGAGGTTAACATAGTATGCCTTCCTCAATTGCTCTCTATCTTACTTGATTTTTTCCCCATTTATTTAGTTGTGCTTGTGTCTGCACATGCATGTCCATAAACATATATGCACCATGGTACATGGTACATGGTACATGGCACATGGGTAGGTCAGAGGACAACTCGTGAAAGTCAGTTCTCTCCTTCTACTATGTGGGTTCTAACAATCATCAGGCTTGGTGGAAAGTGCCTTTACCACTGAGCCAACCTGCCAACCAGGCCACCTTGTTTTTTGAAATGGGGTCTCTTACTGAATCTGGCTAGATTTGCAGGCCAGCAAGCTCTAGGGATCCTCCCGTCTCTGTCTTCCTAGTGCTGGAATTACAGGCATATCTTTATGCCTGGCTTTTATGTGGATGATGGGGAACTGTACTTAGATTTTTGTGCTTGTACAGCAAGCACTTTAGCAACTAAACTCTCTCTCCAGCCCTTTAACTGATGTTGACAGGCTTCCTGAGTGACTAGCAGGAGGGTGGAGACCTACTCTTTGCCTTAAACCTTTTTGTCCTTAACTTTTCTTTGGGGCCTGGCTAAAGACCAGACACACTGGATTTACGTTGTATAGTACATTTTCTAAATTGTGTTTGCCTCAGAAACAGGAATTTTATCAGGGGACAGATACTTCCAACTTTTGCTGTTTGTAAAATGTACATTATTGAATTTTAAAACAATGTTTTTTCTCATTTCTAATTGTATGTGTATGGGAGTTTGGCTGCATGTATGTATGTGCATCGTGTGTGTGCAGTACCTATTGGCTCCTCTGGAGCTGGAGCTATATATAGGCAGTTGTGAGCCACCATGTGGTTGCTGGGAATTGAACCCAGATCCTTTGGAAGAGCAATAGCTGCTGAGCTATCTCTCCAGCCCCGCATTATTGAATTTTTAAAACCTTCAGGGCTCAACCTGTATCCTGGTCTCAGCCAAACTATTATTCACTGAGCTAGTTAGGGTCTTGTATTAAGATCCCTCTGATGAGATGGGGGTGATTCCTTGGCCCCAGAAGGCCTATGACATTGTAGACTCAGGCAAACTCTAGGGTCAGCATTGTCAGGGTTATTTGCGGTTGCTACTTTGACATATCTGTGGGACGCTTTCCAAAGTCACCTAACAGTGGTAGTGAGATAGAGTGGCTGGCTGGGTTGGCCCTGTGTACCTTGGGCTGCTCCGGTGGCAGATCTACAGTGTCAAAGCCTGCCGTCAGAGCTTGGGAGAGGCTATGGGGATGGTGGAATGGGGCGGCAGAATGTGAATTACCACTGACCCTAACCACTGCTCAGCAGACCACAGTCATCTACTACCCTTTGAGAAGATCTGGGAGCAGGGCTCCTGTATATCTCACACCCTGAGGTGGTCCACATACTTCTAACCACACTTAGGCTGCAATTCCCATCCTCTTTGGTCAGTGTTCCCATGGAGGTTTGCCACCCACACCTCCACCTTGTTTGATCCAGGTGTCTCCCCGAACTCTGTCTTTCACAAGTTTCTGGTTAAAGAGCTATAGCATCCTCTTGCTCTGCTGGTACCTTATCATGGAATCCATTTTCCTGTCTATTTTGTGTGTCTTACGGGGGCAGGGGGCCACAGCACTCCATTTCTAGACAGCAAAAAAAGTAATACCATATTGATGCTGCTCCATCTGCCATAGAAACCTGCAAGCATGCTAGCAGGTAAAGGCCAGCAAGAGGTGTAAGTCAGCCATCCTTACCTGCTCAGAACTAAGAGCAACTAAGGTTGGCAGGGCTTCTTCCTGCTTGCCTCCCTCTGAGGAAAGGGGAAAGGGACATGAATGTTTAGAATGTGTCAGAAATCGCACCATTCCCAGAAAATGCACACAGTAGACCTGGCTGCCAGCAGGAATACATGAGGTGACTGCCTGTGTGGAAAGTCATGGTCACCTGAGCCTGCAGAAAGGTAGTCATTCCTGGATGGCTTCATAATCACCTCATTTCACGGTTAATTTAACAGCAAGGTTTGGGCTTCCCTGTGGCTTCTGGGCAGAGTGCTCCTTCAGCTCAGGCCACTTTTGTTGGCAGGAAGAGTTGGTAGGATTTTATTTCTTGGTGATTCCTTTTGTTGTATTACTTTAAGGACTAGAAATCCAGGGTACTTGCCCCTAAAATGCAGCTCAAATAAGGACAGCCTAGAACAGCACAGCAGAGCCCCAGTGGCACTTTGATATCAGCTAGAAGGACTGCTGGCCTAAGATGGTGATACTTTCATCCCACTCAGTAAATGTGCCCCATGGAAGCTGGAGCAGGAAGAGTTGATGATGGGGGTAAGACCCTGGTAGGTTGGAGTGTGGCCAAGGGGACACAGCTACCATGAGATTAAAAGGCAGCTGCTGGGTTGTGTCCTTTGGAAACCAGGGTTGGTTTTCATTTCAGGAGACAGGCAGAAATAACCCAGATTTAGGGGTCAACAGTGCAGAGGCAAGGTGGCTCTGAAGTGGGAGCATCCTGGATGCTGTTCCCACCCCCCAGAAGAAGCCCAGGGCATTTTTTTTCCCCAGTAGCATTCACTGCAAATGAAGATCAAAAGCCTTGTCTTCCTCAGAAGACAGTGGGCAGCGAGGCAGGTTGGCCTGGGGACAAAAAGCAAGTAAACCTTTATTTTAAAACCAGTCTTTGATTCATGGTCAGAGCAGCAGTCTGTTTTGTTTTTGAGCACATGAAAGTAGTGTTGAGCGTGTCTAAACTGAGAGTCCAACATCTCATAGCAGAGTGGGTGGCTAGATTGGCCCTGCCTCCCCTGAGCTGCTCCCAAGACAGATCCACAGTGTCATCCTCCCAACTGAGCATTTGACAGACTATGTGGGTGGTTGAGCTAGGCAATGGGATGTGGAGGATGGGTACAGTATAAGCCCTTATGACAGGAATGGGGAGATGGTACTTTGTCCCTCCGAGGAATCTGGGTGTTGTCACTGAGGTTTGGTGTTCTGAAGTAAGGAAGACAAGGGGTAATTTCTCAGCCTTTGAGCTGTCACATCCACAGACAAAGAGAAGCAAGCCTGGGTAGGAGACTGGAAACCAGTGGTACCTGCCCAAGACAGAGGAAAGGTGCACATTTTAAGTCAAAGTGGAAATTTTAGGGAAGTAACCTGTCCCTGCCAGTTGGCTGGACAGCAGAGCTAGCCCATGGCTGACCACCAAACCTACTTTGGGCTTATGAGCTCACTAACTAAGGTTGGATATACACCCCTCCAGGTTCCTGGGCAGCTCTCATGTGCTTGGATCTCCATACCTTGAACCTACTTGGAATCTCACAAGAAATAAAAAGTCTCGACCTAGAGATAAGTTTTTAGAAGATGGAGGCCACCATTATCCACTCCATTCCTTCTCTCATCCTAAGGCGGAGATTTCATACAGTGTCATCCCTGATTCAGGGTCCAGGAACCAGCTGGACCTAAGGCCACTGGGCTGTGCTTGTGCTGGGGTTCCCAGAGGCCTGTGCCTGGCACCCAGACTTTGACCTGCTGTCAGGTGATGGCAGGAGTCTTGAAGTAGACGGAGTGCTGCTTTTGTGTCAATACTGTCCTGATTTGCCATCATGGTGGTCTGGCCCAGCCCTTCAGCAACTCTGGAACAGATGGAGTTGGGCTAATCTTCCTTGGGCCCCTCCATAGTGAGGAAAGAGTCCACAACTGTGCCTTTCCGTTCTGGGTCAGTTGGGGGCTGTTTGTCACGGTTCTGCTCCGCCCTTGCTTTTGTCCAGGAGGGAGACCGTAGGCAGCCAGCTCGAGATAGTGGGTGCAGACCTGGTAAGAAAACAGTCTCAAATTCAGTAAAACGGGGAGGGGGGGTGGCTGAAGCTCCACATTGTGGCTCCTCCAGTCTTGTTGCTATGGCTTCTGGGTGTACATATGCTTTCTTGGTGTCTGCCACTGTATTGAAGATTTTATATGATAGACAAGGGCTTTTCTGATGACCCTAGGAGTCACTAGAGTCAAGGTTAAGTTGTTTTGTTTTCTCATTTGTTTTTTGAGACAGGGTCTCACTATATAGCTTTGGCTGGACAGGAGATTACCACATAGACTAGGCTGCCCTCAAGCTCAGAGATCCCCTGCCTCTGCTTCCTGAGTGCTGGGATTAAAGCCATGTACCATTATGCCTGGCTCAAGTTAAGTCTTGAGACTATCTGCCCTATCCCCTATGTGATCCTGATAGGACGCTGCCAAAGCCTTGACTTCCTAAGTGTCTTAGTAAAGCTTGTTGCCCTGCAAGCCTGACAGTCTCCCCCATCATGAGACTTAAGCCTCCTCTCCAGGGTGCAGGCTGTAGGAGGCTAGAGGCACAATTGGGCTGGGGTTGAGCTCCCCACTCTACTTGTTCAGCCACAGCTGTCATAGGCATTCCTGGCTCAACACACACATGCAGGCTTGAGGGGAAGGTGGAGCTAAAGAGGGATGCCACCAGGGTCAGGCAGAGCTCCATTTTGCAGGAGAGATGGGACAAGAACACCTGTGAGGTGGAGCCAGGGTCCTCCTTCATGTAGCTGTCCTATCTCAGAGCCCACAGCTCCTGATATACATAGGCCACACTACCAACCTCCAGGAAGCATGCGAGCAGCTGATCTGCAGAGCCTCGCTGGGGCTGGTGGTATCTTCCCAGCACTTGGGCGCAGACAAAAGTGGATCTCTAAGTTTAAGGGCAACAGGCTACAGAGTGATACCATGTCTCTAAAGAAAAGTGAAAAGGGATGGTAACTGACTTTAATGAGGCCCTTGCTGCCTAGTATGTGTTTTATCCCAGGTCATGTGTGCATGTTTTGACTTGGGGTGGGAGAAGCTGAAGCTGTTGGGGGAGGGGCAGGGCTCAGCTCCTTTGCTTTCCCTACCCCATAGCACAAAGTGGATAGCTGAAGGTCACATTGATATCTTTTTTAAACATGTTGGAATGCTAGGTGTGGTGGTGACTTTAATCCCAGTACTTGGGAGGTAGAAGCATTTGGGTGTCCGGAGTTTGAGGCCTCCTTGGTCTACAAAGAGAGGTCAACTAGGGGCTACATAGTGAGGCCACCCATGTCTTTTGTTTTTGTTTTTCTAGACAGGGTTTCACAGGCATTCCTGGCTCAACACACACATGCAGGCTAGAACCAAAGAGGGATGCCACCAGGGTCAGGCAGAGCTCCATTTTGCAGGAGAGATGGGACAAGAACACCTGTGTAGTTCTGGCTATCCTGGAATTTACTCGGTAGACTCAGATCTGCCTGCCTCTGCCGCCTGAGTGCTGGGATTAAAGATGTGCACCACTACCGCACAGTGAGACCATGTCTTTTAAAAAGAAATCAGCACTTTATTTCTAGTAGCCAGGAATTAGAAGCAGGCAGATCAGAGTTTGAGGTCAGCCTGGTCTACATAGTAAGTTCTAGCACAGCCAGGAGTACACAGAGAAATCCTGTCAGAAAAACCAAAAAGGTTTTTTTTTTCTTAATTGGAGACTGAAGGCTTTGTCCCCAGTAAGGATTTGTGGCAAACCCTATGTTCTGTCTATAGAGATTGGAACTACCCTGCTGGCATGGGGTTCAGGAGAGGGTGGGAAGATGGTGAGGCTGCAGTCTTACCCACATACCCGGTCCCAGATGATAGCACCCCTTTCTCTCCAGAGGTTTAGCCAGTCAGGTGATCTGAGGGGGGGCCCAGGTTGGTGAATGTCCCCCTCTCTTTGTGCTTGACTTAACTTAAAACCCAAATCCCGTAAGTTTATATTTTCAAGGATAATAGCTTTGGCTTCCTGTTGTTCATTTGGAGAAGTCAAGGAGTAGGTATGACAGGAGGGAAATTCCTTCACACATGGGAAATAGCGATGTAAAATGTAAATAAGGGATGAAATGTGAGGACAAGTACTAAATACACAGTTGGGTGGAAAGTTTGTTTGTTTGTTTTTCTAAGCAGGGGCCCCCGGGACTTCCCCAGACTTCCTCCTATATGGTTCCATCCCTAAGCCAATGTGCAGCCTCACCTGCTGGGGATTCAGTGGCAAGGTTCTCGTCGTCGGAGTCCGCAAAGACCTCAGCCAGCTCCTGGTCAGACATGTCAGTCAGCTCCGTGAGGTCCAGGAGATCAAAGTGGACCTCCAGAGAGGAGACACTGCTCAGAGGCTCTGGGGGTGCAGGAGACAGTTACCTTTCAGCCTCACTTATTGAGGGGACTAACCCTCAGGGGTTTCTTCCCTTAGGCTTCTTCCCACATGGGTGACCTGGCACTTTGGGTTCATGTGTGTGTTTTCATAATATGTACAGGCCAAAGCTGATAGGTGTCTAGCTCAGTTGTTTGCTGCTTTACTTTTTGAGACGGGGGATCCTCATCTAACCAATTTGGCTATACTGGCTGGCCAGGAAGTCCCAGGGATTCTCTTTGTTCCTGCCTCCCCAGTTAATGGATTATAACATGTACTACCATGCTTATTTTTTTCTAAAGATTTTTATAGTGTTCTACTTGTTATGTACAACTGCACACCAGAAGAGGGCACTATAGATGGTTTTGAGCCACCTCTGGAGAGGTCCTGAGCCATCTCTCCAGCCCCCGTGGGATTTTTTAGTTTCGATTGTTGTTTGTTTTTTACAGGAGTGCTGGGGATCTGTAAAGCCAATACTAGCCGAGACCCAGTAGCTCTGCATACTCCAGACTGGAGAGCATTCTCAGCTCCTCCATTTTGCAGATGGAATAAGTGCCTGCACAGTTGCCCATCACTAGGCAGTGTTGCTGCCTTTCACACTCTGGCTGCTTTGTCCCTGATGATTGGGGTTCTATGCTGCTGGGTTTGTCAGTGATACTTACGCCTCCTCTCTGTAACCTGCAGGAACCCCGGTGCTGGTATTGGGATGCCAACCTCCTCTCCCTCTGTCACAGGTGTATGGCAAGTGTCCCCTGTCTCATGAGCTGGAACACTCAGGGCAGCCTGTGGTACCTTGACTTCTTTAACAATCTCTGCAACCAAGACATAGTGTCAGTTGGGCGGTGGTGGTGCATGGCTTTAATCCCGGCACTCAGGAGGAAGAGCCAGGCAGATCTCTGTGAGTCTGAGCCAGCCTGATCTACAGAGCAAGTTCCAGGACAGGCTCCAAAGCTACACAGAGAAACCCTGTCTTGAAAAAAAGAGAAAAGCCGGGCATTGGTGGCGCATGCCTTTAATCCCAGCATTCGGGAGGCAGAGGCAGGCAGATCTCTGTGAGTTCGAGGCCAGCCTGGTCTCCAGAGAGAGTGCCAGGATAGGCTCCAAAGCTGCCTAGAGAAATCATTTCTCGAAAAACCAAAAAAAAAAAAAAAAAAAAAAAAAAAAAAAAAAAGAAAAAGACATAGTGTCACCTACATACTCATAGGAACCCCCACATCTCTCCAGGACTAGGATTTGTGGCTAGTGGGGAAGAATATGAGGAGTTGGCATGTCAGGTCCTCTGACATTCTGCTGTGGTCAGGGGTTCCTGGGCTGGTTCATGGCCTTAGACAAGGATGTGGAGATGCTGCTTCTCCCTCTCAGGTCCTGTCCTCCCTGGGTGACTAGGCAAAGGATACATGAGGGTGGACGAACAGACAAATAGGCCCACAGACTACTCAGCACTTCAACTCCAAGGAGCTCTTAGTATGGGAATTCCACATGAGGTTTGCTAGCATAAGGCTCTATTGTCTGTATACTGAGGTTTGTCAATGTTTTGGCTGGCCTAGGGTTTAATGACGGGTCACCTGTGAGTTTCTGTTTTTTTCTGTTGGGGACTGACTTCCTTATAAAAAACCCTCTGTAGTATTTGGACTCAAATAGAAAAAGAAGTGAAGTGGGAAGTGGCATCCTTGCTATCCCATCATCCCTCACTACCAGCTCCACTGCAGTTTGATGAATGTCCTTTTCAAAGAATGAATTGCTTGTTTTCTTATTTAACAACTTTCTGTTGGAGAATGAGAGTCCCTCAGGGATCTGCTGGAATGGAGACTGTGCTCCTCAGTTCCACACTAGTACTAGTGGTTTCCTTTCCAATGCTTGGAGCTATTACTTAGTGGAGCTCTGGACTCTTGTATATCTCCATACACAATCCTGGCAGCTTCTCCCATGGGGTAGTTCAGAGCCCTTAGCCTTCATCTCCTTTCCCATCCCATCCCCCTCAGCAGCCTCCTTACCATTCCTCACCCCTGCCAGAGATCCCAATAGCTAGTTAGGTGTGTCCCCTTGTGCCTGTCCCCTAAGTTACCATCTTCCCAGAGGAGAGTGTACTTACCTCCCTGCCCTGTACTCCAGGGCTCTTCCTAGAGACTTTCCTCTCTGGTTTCTAGGTCCTTCGTGGTGTGTCTGACCTCCACTTGAAGGTACTCAGTGTGTAACTGAGTAGTGAGTACATTCACACTCAGTGTGGATAAAAGCCCTTGTGTGAGCTGTGGATCTGTGCTGGGATGCACAGGTGACCCATGGGATTAGATTTGGCAGCCCTGGGTGATGAACAGTGAACACAGAGGAGCAGCTGCTTCTGTGAGCAAGAGTTGAACTGAGGAGGCCACAGCCCAGGCTCCTACTATCGACAGCTGCATGTCAGGCTAGCCTGTCTTTCCTGATGGAATGTGTTGCCAGCAGATTTGAACACTTTAATCATTTCCTATCGGATGCAAAGGACCTACAGGGAGTATGGATCTCAGATGGGTCCAGGAGCTCAGGAGCAGGGGGCTGGGTAGAAGGCACAGTAGAGTTGTGTGCAGGACTAGTGGACTTCTGAACTGTAGGTTCTATTAGTGTGTCTAGGGGGGGGGGGGGGACTACTGAAAGGTTCTGAACTGAGTGTCTATCTGTATTTTTGTGAGAGGTCAGTAAGGACACAGTCCAAGTGGAAGGAAAGAAATGTTGCTACTTTCCCACTTCCTTTATTTTCTGGGGTTTTGTTGAGATGGGGACCCCATCTAGGACATTAGCTAATAGCAAGTATGGCCCCTGTCTTGCACCCCTCACTAGAGGTCCTGGAATCACATGAGGATTCAGCTCCTGGGACAAGACCAGTAGTCTTGTCTTTTCATATTCTGTCCATGAAATTTTAGGATCAATGAGATGCAGTAGCCTCTTTTTGTGGGGTGCAAGAACATCATGCACACTAGGCAAGTGTTATCTGTAAAGTCTTTAAAGCATCATCATGTATCTAGTTTTAGTTTTTTTTCCATCTTGCTTTGGCCTTGTTTCTGTCTTTATTCTGGAAATCCTGGTGCTTTGTCCTAAACCAAATCTGAGGGAGGAGAATGAGGAAGATAGAATGGTCACCATCAAGAGCATTCTTGTGGTACATGCCTACAGTCCCAGCTCGTGGGAGGTAGAGGCAGGGCTCAGTGAGACTGTCTACAAACAAGTAAACTGACCAATGTTGAGGCTGGTATAGTGGCTACACTTAAAATCCCAGCAGTTGGGAAGTGGCAGCAGGTGGTTCATGAGTTTGAAGCCAGAAGTCAAAATTAGCCAGGACAGAGGAAGCCTAGGACCCCCATCCCTGTGAATGAATGGATGAATGAATGAGTGACCCTCATCTCTGAATGGATGACTCCAAGGCCCCACAATAAATGGCTGTGCTAAGAACCATTCAGGTCAATCTGCACCTTCTTTGCAAGGTATTGTATGGAGAAGGAACAGATTCTCCACCAGCAAAATCTTCCTAGTTAGGAAGCAGAGCTACCATGTTAGGCAGGCCAGGGCAGGGTCAAATACTGAATAGCTGAATGGGCTCAGATCTCCTGGAGTCACCCAGGACAGGGTAGAGGGAAGTGGGTGTCTGATGCCCTGGGAAGGGCTCCACAGTGACCCTTGGCTCTGGTCCCATACAATCTCTATTAGGGGGCTGCTGCCCCCACCCTACCCTGTGGGTGGAGATAGGCGCTGTGGTGCTCGTTTCCTGCCTTCCAGGTTTCCTAAGGGCTAACTTGTCACATAATGCTTTGCTGTTGCCCTATTTCTAGTACATTTGTGACTTGCAAACTAGGCCCAGATCTTGCTGTGCTCCAAAGGCCTGGCCATGCTTTATGCCACTGAACAAGTGAACAAATGAATTAATGGTATGAATAAAAGAATGTAAACAAAATGACCATCAGGAGGGAGAGGTGGTCTCGAAGGTAGGGGCCACCTGAGCCCCATTTCCCAGCATCTCTCTCCATGAATCCATACCATCAGTCTCCATCCAGTGCAGGGCCAAAGCCTCTGTTTCTCTTCAGTCTCTGGGGATCCCTTGGAAATGAGGAAGAAAGAGAGACTTGCTCCCCAAAGGCACAGGAGGGCTTCTCAAGGAGGGAACCTTTTACACTTTCATGCACATGCTTTAACTCCATGGTCTGCACACTTTTAAGAAAGAATTTAGTAGCTGGGCATGGTGGGGCAAGCTACTCAAGCACTACTTTAATCCCAGCACTCAAGGGTCAGGTTTATCTCTGAGCTCCAGGTCATCCAGGGCTATATAGTGAGGCCTTGTCCCCTCCCCCAAAATTATTTAGGTACAAAAATTGCATATTAGGCTTGGCATGATGGTGCACACCTTTAATCTTAGCACCCAGGAGGTGGAGGCAAGTGGATTCTCTAGAGTCTGAGGCAAGCCTGGTCTGCATAGCAAATGCCAGTGTAGCCACCGCTACATAGTCAGACCCTGGCTTAATGATACTTTATTAAAGTTTTATCTTTTGGAGATAGTTTCTTCAGTGGCTATTAATGAAAACGAGTGTAGATTTGATGCAAAATACTGAAGGTAGGTTGATAAGGTCTGTATGAGCTAGCTTGGCTATGATCCTAGCAGGTGGTATACAGACCACCATCATACTGGGCTCTGCTTTTGTGTTTGCCTCACACTCTCCAAAACAAAGTGTAACTCAGATATGACAGTCATAGTCACCCACATGAGACCTTAAGAAATGCCACCAAATAGAGTTTGCTAGCTCAGGATGCAGACAAGAAAACCTGGCTAGAGGTCTCAAGAGCAGAAGCCCCCTTAGTTTTTGCCTCTCTGCAAGCAGGCACAGTACTTGCAGAGAATAGGTATTTGTTCAATGAGTCCGGTGTCTGAGGCCCCCAGCCAGTAATTTATACATCAGAATCAGAAACAACTCATTCTATCTCTGTTTAAGCTTTTTGGGCAAGTTTTTCCTTTCTCCAGAGAAGGGAAAAACAAAAACAAACAAACAAAAAAAACTGCCCTATACAAGGGGCTGTCTGTACTGACAGCCATGCTAACCAAGGCTCAGGGGGCACAGGCAGGTTGCCAACATCGCATAGCTCAAAAATAGCCCTGAGCTCTGCAAGCAAGTCCTTGCTCTCCAAATCATCTACCTTCTGGTACCCACAGAGCTGGTGCTGGGAAGACCCAGGGTCCTGGAACTTTAAATATCAAGAAATCTGATCTTCTATAAAAACAAAAGAGCACAACCAATCCCACTGACTGAGGGTGTCTGGTGCTTCGGAGGGTAAGGGTTCTCAAACAGGACATTACTTCCCAACTGCAGACACAGACGACAGCTTGGAGACAGCTCCCAAGGGAGCAGCCCTTTTGGGCTTCAGAAGAAGCCATCGTGTGGGTGGGCTATCGATAAGTGGAATGGCAAGCAGGCCAAATTCTCAGGCACCTGGTGGCTCCTTGGGATGGGACCTTCAGGAAATCCTAGAGATGTTGGGCATGGCTAGGCAAGCGAAGGATTGTTCAGGTTACATCCAAGTTCCCACAGCGATTGATCCCTGAAAAGCTTTCTGGAAAGCTGAGAAGGGGTAGGGATGATTTTAAGAGATTCCCCTCCCTGTTATCAGCCTGTGGGCAGACTCTAAGGAGGGCAGATTCGCGGTAGGACCTTAACCCTCAAGGGTCTCCAACTGCTTTGAGAGGCTGAGGAGGGAACATATCATTCACACCTTCCCTTCCTAATATGTGGCAGCTGGGCAGCACGGACAACGCTGTCCTGCAGCACCCAAAGCTCGGGTGCATGCGCCATGACCTCACCAAAACCCCAGCTCAGCCAGGAGCCCCAGGCCCCCTTCTGCCTCTTGTCATTCCTCCCAGTTTCGCCGCCGGGGCGAACAAAGCCTGCGCGTGAACAAGCGGTGGCATCGTCCCCACGGAACGCCCCTCCCGACCCTAACCGTAGGCAGCCAGCTCGAGATAGTGGGTGCAGACCTGCTGGGGATTCAGTGGCAAGGTTCTCGTCGTCGGAGTCCGCAAAGACCTCAGCCAGCTCCTGGTCAGACATGTCAGTCAGCTCCGTGAGGTCCAGGAGATCAAAGTGGACCTCCAGAGAGGAGACACTGCTCAGAGGCTGCCTCCTCTCTGTAACCTGCAGGAACCCTGGTGCTGGTATTGGGATGCCAACCTCCTCTCCCTCTGTCACAGGTGTATGGCAAGTGTCCCCTGTCTCATGAGCTGGAACACTCAGGGCAGCCTGTGGTACCTTGATTTCTTTAACAATCTCTCCCCGACCAGCGCTCTCCGGAGACTCCATGCGGCCAATGGGGTCCGCGAGGGGTGTGGGCTGCAGCGGCGGGAGCCGGCCCGGGTATCCCAACTGCTCCGGAGACTACTGGGTCCCGGCTTCGGGAGCAGCGCATCGGGGCAGCATCCAAGGGGCCCGGTGGCGCATGCCTTTAATCCTTGTTTTCATTTATTTATTTATTTTTATTTTATTTCATTTTTTGGTTTTTCAAGACAGGGAAAAAGCATTGCTGGGGTTGGAGAGATGTTCTTCCAGAGGTTCTGAG